GTCCGCTTGGTGCTGTAGCATATGTCTGTCAAGTCTACATTTAAATGTCGCCACAGATTGAGACATAACAACCGTCTCGGGCAGATTATTCCACGGTTCCACGACACGGTTGGCGAAGAAATATTTTCTCACATTCAATCTCCCCTGGGGCACACGTAACTTGAAGGGATGTCCCCGGAGGTTAGTTGTTGTGGCGAGTTGGAAAAATTCATCGCACCGAAGGGCGCAGTCCAAGCCACGCACGATACGGAAAGTTTGTATCAAGTCTCCGAGCAACTGCCTATAACTCAGAGGATAGAGATTAAGGTTAGTTAAGCGGATCTCGTATGGCATCTCGTATGAATCTAGCGTGCTCGACTCGACCACAACGCGCTCAGGATCGTGGCTTGGAAAATTGTCGAATGGTTGGATAATTGGGCCTCTTTGAAAGCTGAATCACACTGCAATGTCTCCTTCTCAGAACAATCCCACTGATGGGAGATATTGGTCGCCCTCAGATTATGGACTTTGAAAATGCACTACTTGACATTTGAGAGCCGTAGTTACGTGTATCACACTTTCATCGGGAAACTCCCACCAGGTTAACGATTTTTATTTTATTTATTGTTTGCTTTATCCATCAATAATAATAGCGACAAAATTTACGGCCTTGACCATCCACTTTTTATCACTTCCCCAACCGAAAGGATGAGGTTCGTGTTGGACTCTCCCTTTTTTACCTCTGGATGGGAAGATTCTTGTGTCCGCGTCCCCCATGCCTTGAGTACGTGATTTTTCTCCTCCTCAGTGTGTTATCACTTTGTTTGACGAGAAGCGTTTTCAGTGCATATCTAGGTTCAACAGCAGGAGCATTCGGCCTTTCGCCCTCCAGTTCTCATTTTATGAGAGTACTTTTGTCTCCCACAATACTTCAGTTCTCGAACTCCTATTATGCCTTTTTAGAATGCCCGATAGGTGCGGGTAAAAAATGCGCTGCAAGCTTTCCAAGCGCATCTTCGTTGGGAGATGAAAACGTCCTCTTGATAGCAAGCAGTAACCCATGGCGTTTTTCGCAGCCTTGACTATCTCAAATGTAAACTAACGCAAACCTTTACTCCCAGTCCCAACTGTAAGAAACCATCAGAGCCGCAGAGTAGGTGTTTGCCGGCAAAGCCTTCGGCATAAACGCACTTTCAACCGACATTTACAAAAAGTGGTAGTATAGCATTACCGATAAATACAAGGGAGACTGAAGTGGCACTTTCTGGCTTATAATCCGTCGTCAAATAGCCATAATCCTAAGGTGTCCAAACTCTGGTTGGGGCGTTGGGCTTCTAACTATCAGACCACGAGTCTGAGCCTCGGTATTGCATACCTCGGGATTGGGTAGGGCTGAATGACAACGGCTAGACAGGTTTTATTGTCTTTGTCAGCAATACTATTCTGCCCATATCGCGCGCCGCCGTGTGGCTGCTGGTGAGGCTTGAGAGAGACTCCCAAGGCACAACGGGGCGAGTGATTTCCATAACGCGGTCGGTGAGCGCTCCTCTACAAAATACAGGTGTTCTTAACTCATGTGCAAATGCACTTCCTTGTCCCATGAGACTGGAATACGTAGACAAATCTGCAGGGCTTAGAGGACGCCCCATGGTTGTCCACTTATGCAATTCGGGTACAAACACGGACGAATTTCTCAGCTCGGTAGCTGTTGGGCTACTTTCTATTTAGGAATCGTGAGCAGTGCGGCCTGCTTGTGAGTAAGGCGCAGTTTAGTTTTGAATGCTGGAGGAATTACCGTCCTGTATTCTCCAAGAAAAGACTCCAAGTGTAATAACGCAAACATCAAGCAAGTTAAATATTGTATAAGTTGGTTCGACTGAAGACCGATTACATCTTACCAGCTATATTAATTCAAACCTGGAACAACTGCAAAACCGGAATGCACCTATCAATGTCGAAACCAGTTAAGGGAGCCTGGGGGTACAATTTGGGCCATGTTAGTGAGATTATTTGATTATGCACGTCGCCAGCACAAGCATCGGTTTGATAGCAATAACGAAAAAATCCACATTCTCCTTCCCGAGGAACAGTATAAACACGACCTGCTCAATAAACAACAGCAACACCAATAAAGCCGGCTACGCTTGTTGCCACCGGCTAGTAAAACAGAGACCTAAAAAGATGAAGAACGACTAACTGACTTGTTAAGTTAAGGAGATCCATAAATATGCCAGTCGTTGAGGGATGAGTACTTTGTTAGCGGCCATTAACGCAGTCTACAGTCCAAAGGCCAAGGAGACTTCACCATTGCTAAGCAAGGATACAGTTTACCTCTTGAAAGATAAGTCACAGATCCTAGAGCACTGGGCCTCGCACTTCCAGGCGTCCTTCATTTCCCGTTCACACAGTGCGAAGAAGCCATCAACAGACGCCTAGACACCAATAGCTATATCCATCGTTCCCGCTCTCCCTCAGACACAATCAAAGCCATAAACAGTCGTTCAGTAGGAAAGCATTGAGAGCCTGCGCAGTTCCATACGATGTCAACAAGTACGGTGACCCCCAAGTCATGGAAAAGCATCCCTCACTATTACAGGAGATGCGGCAACAAAGCCCCATCCCCAACCTCTTCAAAAATGCCACCATCCTGCCTATTTTTGAACGCAAAGAGAACTGGCAATTGTGTGTTAACTACATAGGCACCTTTATTCTCGGTACCGCACAAAAAGTATTCGTCCGTCTTCTTCTCAATCACTTGGACATGTATCAAGATAGAGGACTGTCTCTAGAGGCACAATTCGGGCTCCGAGAACATAAAAGTACAGCAGTAAACTTTCCCGGCCCGCCAACTACAGAAAAACTGCCAAGAATTGAGGATTAATTTCAGCACCAAATTCTCCGGTCTGATGGAGACCTTCAACACCGTAAATAATGATGGGTTCTGGAAAATCTTACTGAAATTCAGATGGCCGAAGAGATTTACTTCACGACAGGATGATGGCTCCCATCAAGGACAACAGAACGGTCTCTGAAGCATTCGTTGTTACCACTAGGATGAGACAAAGCTGTCTATTCGCCACCACTCTCTCTAATCTCATGTTCTTCGCAATGCTGGTGGACACCTAGCATGAGGAGTGACCGAACATCGACACCAAGTACCGAGCCGACCGTAAATTGTTCGACGTCATTCGCTCGAAAGCAGCTTTAGGAATTCTACGGCCGAAATTCACGGCATACTGTTCGCGGATAACCGTGCGATAAACACGACAATGGAAGAGGGCGTGCGATGGAATGTGGGCATTTACGATTTCGGTTGGCTCATCTTAGGAGTAACTGTCAGCATTGCGAAGGCGGTAATTTTTGGGCTTAGTAGTGCGAAGCACTGAATACAGCACATTCCTGATCGACGTTTTTTGTATGTCTGTGTATATATTTGGAGGGTTAGAGGCAGAGCCCTTGATGACCCTATTTATCTACAGTTTTTTCACGGATTCGCACTCAAAATAAAAGTACAGACATTTACAATGAGATCGGGTAACAGTACAATCGTAATGATAAGAAAGTGCATCAGGCCACTGTAAGTTAATGTGGAGGGATTGTATATGACAGTGTTTTACAGAACTGGCTGCGAGTAATCATGGTTTAAAAGCCGATTCCTTTCGAAAACCAGGAGAGCAAGTTTTCTTTTAAACATGCAAATTGTGTCAACCGTCAACATCATATTTGGAAGCGAGTTCGACGGTCAGACAACCCGCTGGTCGAATGAAAACTTTCTACGGTCTAACCGCGTGCGTTCGTCTCACAGCAATGGGCAAATTCGCGTAACCTGCGAGCACGTTTCCAGGAAAAATCATGATCGATGACGAAATCGCAGGTTTAATCTCCAAAACCAACCAAGTCTACGATTGGCCAAGACGCTCCATTTGGAATTGTCGCGGCATTCTGCTCAACACAAAAATGATAATGTACAGAACTGTCGTGCCGAAAACGTTCTCACAGGGTTGGAGACGTGGACTGTTTATTAAGGTAAAGCTAGAATACTCAAGCATTTTAGTTTCAACTGCATCTGGGGAATGCTGAAGGCAAAGTGGCAGGAAAGGATCCTAGACATCGGAATCCTGGGATTAACCGGCGTCTCTAGTATCCACGTTATGCTGAGAAGAATACCATTGCGATGGAGCGGCCATGTCGTAAGAATGGACTGCGGATGCCTACTCTAACGGCTATTTCACGTCGGCATAGTTGCGGAAGCTCACGTTACTATCGAATACGTGTGCTCCCTAACTATATACTAAAGAAACCCTCGAAAAACACTAATACGAATGAAAAAGAAATTGGTGACTAAAACATGCTGAGGAAAAAAGGTCTAAGTGCATAAACATTCACAAAATGCCTAGTGTCGAGTGAAGAGAAAGATGATTATTCAATTTCAACAGGCTGCTAGTGTTTAAGACCAGAGGACTCCACTTCTCATCAATTAGTTAATGGAATTCCCGAGCATATTTGTATCCCTCAGGGCACCGTGTAGTTGTACTTCCGCAGTCGGTTCTGTGGCATAGTCCGCTAGATTTCCTCTGATCATCCTAGTAGCCTGGAATGTTCTTTCTCTTTTAGAAAATCCGCAAGGCAATCGGTCGGAAACGTAGACGCTTTTAGTCACTTGAGAACTGTCACGCCACAAAGTGCACATCACTATCATTCGCGAGGCCCAATGGTATGAACAAGGTTAGCTAGAGGAGGTGGTTGCCGGCCACACATTCTTTCAGAGTGGCAGCCTAAAGGCAGAGCGAAGCGACGCTGGCGTCGCCTTTGCCATCAGGAGCAATATCGTACACGACCGCCTTGTTTGTTGCAGGACATCAACAATCGCCATAGTTACCCCGCGTCTGTCTCTTCGGAGAAGCAACTTCGCCATCCTTGTCAGTGCCCACCCTCTCCCAATAACCAACTCAAGCGAGGCGAGGAACAAGTTCTACGAAGACCTGCATGTACTTCTGGCGACTGTGCTGAAAACAGACAGGCTAATTGTCCTCGGGGACTTCCATGTCTGCGACGGGACAGACCACGCTGCCTGGAAGGAAAAGCTGGGCCTCCGCGAAATTGGCGGCCGCAACGAAAACGGTCTCCTCCTTTTGGAAATCTGCGCAGAGTACCGTTTCCTCCTGACCAACACGTTTTTCCGCCTTCGCAAGCGAGAGTAAAGAACGAAAATGCAGCTCCGATCGCAGCGCTGACAGTTGCAAAATTATGTTCTCGTCTTAAGGCGAGATCGAGAGGACGTGCTGCTGACAAAGGTGGTCTGCGACGCCGATTACTGAGTGGATCACCACCTCGTAAGCTCCAAGATAAGGATTCGAGCGCAATCTCCCAAGATAATAAAGCGTAAACGACAATCAAATGAAGTAGGTACTGTTCTGCTGAATCTGTCCGCTCACCGCTTCGATTTCGAAGAACCGCAAGCTCCGGACAACAAAGCCACCGTGGAGAGACCCAGCGGAGCCAACTGCGGAACGCCATCTACTTCACCGCCCTGGCCGTCCTCAGGTCGTTCAAGTCGCTAACATCAAAATTGGCTTGGTGACAATGACAAAAAATCCGCAATCTGCTCACCGGGAAGAATAGGCTCCACAACGTCCATGCCAGTCGCGGAACCAACGCAAACAGGACGGCTACTTCGGATTCGCTGCTTGGCGCAACAACAACTGCAAGAAATGAAAGGCGTCTGGATGGATTGAAGACCGAGAAAATTTAAGGATACGCGGGCCGCAATGAAACCGAGAATTTCTTCGCCTCCATCGGGGTGGTCAATTGCTGCCAAACCAGGGGAACCGCGCTATCGTCCAGTTTCGAGGGGCCAATAATTCTTACGGAGAAATCATAATTCAAAAGCACCGGGACGAAAACTTCAGATGCGCCTTCAATCGACCGTCCACGATCTCCGACGCTGCTGTCAGCAGATTCTCCCAGATGGAAACGAACGGCGGTTTGGACCCCCCGTCTTCCGTTCTAGAAACAATCAGAGCCGTGCACCTGCTCTCTAGCCGAAAGCCACAGTGATCCGATGCCATCCCATCCGCGCTCGATATAAACTGCGGTACTTGGCTGATGGCCAAACTCACACCGCTGTTTCAGGAGATGTGGCTACAATAATGAGTCCATAGGGAATTTAAGGGCGCCAACATCGTGGACATCTAAAAACGGAAGGGCTACCGTCAACAGAATGACAATCAAAGAAGCATTTCCTCCCCAATATTGCCGGAAATATACCTGCTCGTATCTTCCTCAATCCTCTCAACGGCAATTTGGAAGACGGACTGCTCCTGAGAAGCCAGTACGGTGTCCAAAGATTCCGTGGAACCACCGACATGATATTTTTCCGCGCGTTACCTATGAGAAAGATGCCAGTAAGTGCAGATAAGTCTCTGCATCACTCTACTAGGCCTGTCGTTGGACTTTGACGCGGTGTATCATCACGGACTCTAGAGGATCATGCTCATACACCATGGTACAGCAACTACACGGCGGTATGATCACTCAGTCACGGACAATGGAGCAGTCTCAGAAGCACGTGCAGTGACCAATGGAGCGAGGCAAAGTTTTGCATCCTCTCTCACCCTTTTCAGCCCCATGTTCTCTGCTTTGCCAGTGGACGCCAACCAGGACGGGCGGCCAGAAACCAACATCGTCTACTGCCTCGACGGACAACTGCTCAACGCACGACACTTGCAAACGCGCTTAAAAGTATCCCATACCAGAACCCGCGACCTACTTTTCGCTGATAACTGTGCATTCAAAAGACCGACGGAAGCAGGCATGCAAAGAAACATACGCCTATTTGCCTCCTACAGCGCCAACTTCGGACTGACCATCAACAAGCCAATCAACCGGATTCGGACACTGATTACAGCGAACCTCACATTAAAGTAAAAGGAGCTCAGCAGGCCACTGTGGAAAACTTTACATACATAGGCAGTCGAATCTCGAGACGATGAAGTGGGCTATAGGATTAAAAAAGCCAGCCACGCATTTGGCTAGCGATAAACCTCAGTCTGGAATCGCTGACGACTTCGCCTGAACACCAAAATCAAGATGTACAGAACGATAGTTCTGACGGCACTAATTTACGGGACAGAAAAATGAACCGTTTGCGCCAATCAAACCAAAAACACAAACACTTCCATCGCAGGTGGCTCCACAGAATTCTGAAGTTGGGGTGGCAGGACAGGATCCCGGACACGAAAGTCCTGGAACGAAGCGGAATTTTCAGCATCCACGCCATGACTGGGCATGACGTTCAACAAACGACTCTTCTACTGCTACGTCACTGCGGATGCTCGATGAGTAGGGCAAAAACGGCACAAGGGCACCCTATGTATCTCTGTTAAGAATGCTCAAATCCACCCAGACACCTGAAACGGTCTTGCCTAGGATCAACCAAGCTGGTTAAGTTTACGAAGTAAATCGCCTTGCCGCTTCTAAAACCAGAAAGCGGTTCGCAAGTTGTAAGTACCGCGGATCTTCAATCCCAACACCGCCGCTTCCAATAGGTCCATGCTGTCACCGGACATCCAGCGCATAGATCAGCCTCGTCGGACGTCTTCGGACCCAACTCGATTGCAACAAGCCGACTCCACTTACTGTCTCCTCGAACGCCTCCAACGTCATCCCTGCCCCTACACTCACGACACTCACAACGGCGATCGCTACAACTAGTGAGAAAAATCTCGAAGTCCCGCCGCCGATGCGGACTGCCACCTCCATTATCACTGCCACACATCCCGCGAAGATGGCGATGGCGAATACTACCCCTCTCACCCCCGACCCCCACCAAACACTGGTCTCACCACCAGTAATGAGGACGCCCTCCCAATCTGTTCTCATTGCGATCGCGCCTTTGTATCGCGTAACGGCCTGATTGGTCACTTGCAAATTCACCGCATTGTGGCCGGCACACCAGTGCCAGAATCGCACCTACACCCTCCGCACTCGCCTCAACTGCCAGCACTGCCCACGTGCGCTCAATCATTGCATGGGCCTAGTTAACCACAAAGCACTTCCATGAAAATCTGCGGTAAACTGCCGCAGACCAGACCCCCATCACCTCACATCAACCCCACAGATAGTTCGACCCCCGCTGCCGACAAAGCTTGCCGTGTGTTTCCCAGTGGGCTGAGTTCAGACCCACCAACCCATACATCATACACGAACCCCGCTTATACCACTCACCACAGGCTTTGAATAGGCACCCCTTACTTAAGTGAGAAGAGTGTCCTTCAGCTCCCTCCCTATGCGACCACTATGGTACTTAAACGCATGTAAGATCCGAGCAGCTGACCCCCTTTGTGTCAAAGCCTGATGTGTTATTTCGGAGGCTAGGTCGCATGTGGCACCCACAAGCGGGCTGTTTAAGCTCCGTCAGCCGCTGCGCTCGATCTCCTTATTAACTGGCTGAAAGACTCGGACAGTCAACTGGTGTATGGGAGAGGGAAGTGAAAGACACACTCTGGGATTCCATCCCCATGATATTTCAGTGCACTTCTCACTATAATAAATGCGATGTGCTTGAAATAATCATGGCGTGCTCAACGTCCAAGCTTGTGGGGGTGTCACGTGACGATACAACTCGGACATCGCAACCGGTCCGGTGTATGCTTATGTGCAGTGGTGGACTCGCGGATTGCGAGTCTGGCTTACCGGCTTCTTCTTGATATGTCAAAACAGACTCCCACGCATGTGAACTCCGAGCGGAGCACCACTTGTATGAAGGTCTGGTGTAGGCGGCAGGTCGTGCATGGCACGCGCAGACGGGCTCATGAGATCGGGCCGGTACTCTCGCCGAATCCTCGCACCAGACGACAGACTGGCGGGCGATGTGAGGTGATGTGGTTTGGTCTGCGGCAGTTTACCGCAGATAATAATAGATAGATAGATAATTTTTTATTAAAGACCCGTCGGGGTCCCATCAAAGCAAGTTAACATAAATTTACCTGCGAGTTTTAGACGAGGTAGGCCGAATCTTTACAAAATGCAATTCATTGTTTCTGAATTAGTAGTCCATTGAGAACCATGATGATTGAGGGGTGAAAAAAAAACTCCGTACAGAAAGTTAAAAATGATTGGATTAATTTTACAGGAGAAAAAACCCCTCAATAAAAATAATGTCAGAAAAAAGCGAGCAGGACTGGCCTGTAGGTGGCGGTATATAACGGAATGTTGTCGGTCATCGTCAGGGTAGCAATAAATCTCAGCCTTGAGGGGTACGAATGTGGGTCAGACAGGACTGGCTTGCATGTGGCATTGTATACGGGATTCACAATTAAGATCGTCTGGGCCGGATTGATACGCCGCATGAGACTATTCGCGTCAAAGAGGCCAGACGAGAGGAACCCAGATGCGATTGGACACAGCACGCTTCGAGCTCAGCCGAGCAGTGGGGAAGGGAGGTACGACCAAACTACTAGTAGACGGTGAATACTGAGGGTTCCGCCGTGAGCGTCGACAGACCGCATGCGGTCGGAATGCGGGAGATGACATCAAAAACCGCGAAAATTTTCGCTATGGGGGAGGAGTGATAGCAGTGGATTTAGAAACCAATTCAAAACAGGGGTTTCTAATGACATAATTAAGAGTTACCACTTAATCTACCACTAAATCCCAGGAGGACCCTTTTCGAAGTCAAGAATCTGAGTGTTCGGGAATGAGACTGTTAACAGTGCCTTTATGCTTTCCGGTGTAAGATGGTTGCGTAATTTCGACTTGAATACCAATAACTTAGGCGATAATCTAATTTCAGGCGGAAGATTATTCCAAACGAAGGCATATTTGGAAGCAATGAAGAGGGAGCGCTTAGATGTAGTACAAAGAGTCGGTGGAATCACCATGCAGGAGTTGCGCGTGGCATAAGACCGATCTCTCGGAGTGAGAGTGTCAATGAGCGGAAGACTGGAGCTAGAGTTGATGCGAAAAAGGAAGCAAAGGCCAGCTTCGAGTCTTCTAACCCACAAAAACTTAATGTTCGCCAGCTGACATCTCTGAGTATAAGAAATACTGGACGAAGCTTCAGAGAGCAGTTTCCGTTTGAAAACCCTCTGAAAATTGACAATAGAAGCGAAGAGACGAATCCCAGGAAGTAGTCTTGAAGAAGGAGACACGATCGCCCGGACAAGAGCTTTATTAGCCTGACGTTTCGGATTCCTACTCGAATCCATCATCAGAAACAAAAAATCAGAAACGGGTGGTTGTTGCACAAGGGGCTGCGGTATTTATAGGATGCAGTAGCCATGCTACTGCATACCTATGAACATTCACGGCTCCCCCCTTCATCCGAGATCGTGGCACTTGGTGTGATCACTGCTTGATGGCCGACATTCAAGTCGATAATTGCTGCAATTTCGTCACGTGCGTTGGATGTTAGCGTGATGATTGCTCGACCATCTGACGCACCGACCACGGTGTTGGGAAAAGTGTTCACCTCTGCCCTCCCCGCATGGCTTGTTACTCCGCCTAGGCGAAATTTTTGCACGCAGTATGGAGTGGAAAGATCGTTGCACTTGTTTATGGACTGGGGGCCAGTAAACCATGATTCCAGTAGCTCCCGGCTCACGCGGTTGTCACCTCTTGAGAAAATTCGGCCTCGTCGAATTTGAATGTGTGGCCGGATCTCGTCGAATGAGCCGCAACTTGAGGGCTGGCGTCATTTCTCCACATCGCTGCAGCGTGTTCGGCCATTCTCGTTCGGAGCTGCCTTCCGGTTTCTCCGACGTAGTTGCTTCGTCCGCAACTGCACCAGACCCGATAAACGACTCCAGACGTTTCTAGCCGTGGCAGTGGGTCTTTCGGTTTCATGACCAGACGCCTGATGGTTGCCTCCGGTCTGTGTGCCACTCCAACCCGAAGTAGTGCGAGAGGGCGGCCGACAGCTTCCGAAACGTTCTTGACTTACGGAAGTGCCCGCCAAGATTTGGTGTCCTGCGATTAGGCCTTTCGTCCCTTTTGCGTATGCACCGGTCGACGAAGTTGCGCGGGTAGCCATTGGATTTGAAGACCCGTCGGAGGTATTGTACTTCGGCAATTTTGTCTTCCGGCTCACTGCAGTGCGTTTCGACACGCCGATAGAGCGTCCTTACACAACTGCGTTTGTGGCTGATTGGGTGGTTACTGTTGAAGTTCAGTACTTGCATCGTATTTGTCGCTTTCCTGAACAATTTGGTTTTTAGGCCACCACAACCTTTGCGACAGACGAGGACATCCAGGAAGGCCAGCTGATTGTTCTCTTCCTCCTCCATCGTAAATTGAATGTCCGGGAAGACGGCGTTGAGATGTTCTTGGAATGTCAACACCTGATCCCGTTCGATGACGACGAAGGTGTCATCCACATACCGAGCCCAGAATTTTGGTCGGTGGTGTTAAAAGACCAGCGATTCTAACCGTTGCAGGACCGCCTTGGCGATGAATCCCGACATCGGCGAACCCATTGGTGTGCCCTTCAGCTGTTCGTAGATTGTCCCGTTGAAAGTGAAGTAGATCCTGAGACAAAGCTTCAGGAGCTGAAGGATTTGGGCTTGTCCAAGACGTTTCTCCGTTTCATCACCTTTGCTTTGTAGTAGCAGCTCAATTGTCTCGATCGCCAGGTCCTGGGGAATAGAAGTAAAAAGGGATGTAACATCAAAAGTTACCATGACCTCATTTGGATGGATGCTTACCCCTTTGATTTTCTACAAGAATTGTGCTGACGAAGAGACCGTGGTGTCTGACTCAGCGATCAGGAACTTGAGACGCCGGAACAGCCACTTAGCCAGTCCGTACGTTGGAGTCCCTTTGAGCGACACGATGGGTCGGAGAGGAGCGCCGTCTTTGTGCACCTTAGGGAGGCCATAGAATCTGGTCAAAGACGTATCCTGGGGTCTCGCCATGCGTCTGTCGGTCGGTGTTATTGCACCTGAGTTCTCCAAGGAAAATTTTCGATTTTATTACGGTCGCAGGCGTCATTAAACCGAAGAAAGGACAGCAGTATTCGAGGACTGGAAGAACAAACATTTGATAAAGTCTGAGCTTCATTTCCGGAAGGGAAAAAATTATGCGATATGAATCCACATATATGCGCGGCATTGGCAGAGATTCTATCCGCATGAGGTGATAAAGCAAGCTTATTTGTATAACTTAGACCTAGGTCCTTTAAGGTGAGGCATTCTGAGAGTGGTTTATTCTGAAAAATTATGGGACCAGGAAGTTTGGTAGGACCAAAAGACATGAAACTACACTTGGATGATGAAAACTCCATCTGCCATGTCGAACCCCATCTGCTTAAGCGTAGTAAATCGGCATTAATTTTTTCAACACAAATATTTGCGGTGTCCTTAGAGTATGAGTAAACACACCTGAGGTCATCGGCATAAGTAAAAGTTTGCGAATTTCCGAGCTCAGTCGAAATATCATTGATGGACAGAAGGAAGAGTAGCGGACCCAGAACCGTGCCTTTAAGTACGCCACTCGTGATCGAGTGAGGTGTCGAGTAGCTATTCCCGACCATGACTTTCTGATATCGGTTGGACAGATAGGACCTGATGAAGTCGAGTAGAGGCGGTCGGATGCCGAGAGCTTCCAATTTTACTAAAAGACGTCTGTGGGGCACCTTGTCAAAGGCTTTGCTAAGATCAAAGTAAATAACAACCACTGACTGCCGCTCATTACGAAGAGAAGTGATTAGATTAAGAAAAGCCAAGTGGCATGTTTCGCAGGATCGTTCAGGTAAAAATCCATGCTGAAAAGAGCTCAGAAGCCGATTAACTAGACAGAAGTCAAGAATTTCATTGAAAATAATCCTTTCAAGAAGCTTTGCTAGAGATGGCGTTTTGTGCACGCTCCGATAGTTATTAACATCGGACCGAGATCCTGACTTGAAGACGGGAATGATAATTGACGTTTTCCATGTTTCAGGAAAGAATCCTTTTGAAATATAAACCGAGAATAAATGACTAAGCAATATGGGAAGATCGGACGCTTGTTTAATAATCGAATTCGGAATCCCGTCCGTTCCTGAGCAGTTTGAGTATTTCGAACGGCTTATGTGTTTCGTAATGACATCTGAGGAGACATCAATGGCACTAAGTGTCCTACCTGAAAGTGATCGAAAGAAAGGGACCGGATCGGACTCGGTAGTAAGGTGTTTTGCAAAGAAAGCACTAAACAACTCCGCCTTGTCAGTGTCATCGGTGAGGAAGACTTTGTTATCATTTAGCAGGGGTGGAAGTTCGTGAGCACGCTTAGAGGAGGACCGAGGACGGAAGATGTTAGCGACGGATTTACCAGGGTTCGTACCACTGAGAGCAATTGATTCTCTTTGCCTGTCGCGCGCTTGGCGCATCCTTGAGGCCATCTCAAATATCTCTGTGATTCTAAGATGAACTGATAAGGAACTAGTGGATGGGTCACGCAGCTTTCGCCTCAACCTTTTTAGTCTGTTCTGAAGAAAATGAGGAACAAGGGAATCTGAAGAATTAGGCTTGAGATATCTACGCGGCACATACTCTAGAATGTCCTTGGAAACATTAGACATGACATCACGAAGAATGGTTGCCTCGCTACAAGTGAGGAAGCCACACCAATCCAAAGATCTAATAAAGTTATTTATTAAGTCGTTATCTACGCAGTCGTAGTTCATGTAAGTCCGAACGGCGCTTGTATTTTTTGAAAAGGCAAGCGGTAGGCAACAAGGAATTAATACGTGGTCACTGTCAAAGAGGTCCTTTTTAAAGCAACAGAAAGAGGATCAATGTCATTGGTAAAGATTAAATCTAAAATGTGATTATCTCTTGTTGGAGAGCGCGCCAGTTGGGACCAATTAGGAAAATTGACAATATCTTGAAAGGGCTGGAATCTGGGTGGGCAGCTATTGGAAACCCAGTCTATTTCAGGAAGGTTAAAATCCCCAGTTATTATTTTAACATCGAAAGCAGCTTCCGAAATTCATTTAAAGATTTCACAGAGTTGTGAATCATCACTGGCTAAAGAATTAGGGGGATTGTACATACAGCCAATAATTGCCTTTCTCTGCGGCGAGAGAATAACAGATGCAAAGCAGAAGTTTCCCGTGGATGAGGAAACATCCAAGTAATAGGGAGAGTGCTTTAGGTAGGATTTAAGATAAAGAAGACAACCACCCCCACGCCTAGTCGTGTGGTCTTGGTGGTAAAAATCGAAGTCATCTATGAGAAGGGCAGAGTTAGGAATTAGAGAATGGGTCCAAGATTCTGTTACACATATAGTATCAGGCGTCATTTCCAGTGCAATGGCTTTGATTTGGGCCATCTTGTTTATAACTGGCCTGGCATTCAATAGTGTAATATCTAATGTGTTTCGAACGGCAATGCTATTTTCGACGGTATTTAAAAAAATTTGGAGGCGGATATGTAAGCTGTGAATTAATGACACTTGGAGAATAAGTACCAGTTAGTCTAGAGTTTTTGACGTACGGGGAGTCAACAAGAGAAGGCTGAGTATGAGACCTAAAGGATGTGGGGATAGAGTTTTCAAACATTGGAATGCTAGGGGAGTTAAAACATGGATATACTTGTTGGTAGTTAAATAGTGGAGGAAGGGGAGAAGGAGGGAGGCTAGAAGGAAAGTAGGGGCTAGTGGGTGAGGGTAGGCCGCTATAAGAATGAAAGGGTGGGAAACCAGGTCTAGGTTGGAAGTCAAAGGAGGCAGGTTGACGTACCTGAGAGCAATTGGCCTTAAGTGGTGGGAAGCCTGAACTAGGTTGGAGCATAAATGATTTAGGGCAATTCATGTGTGAATTATTTGCTGGATATATAGTAGGGCTTTGATAAGTAACCGGTGCGCAGGACAGAGAATTATTCGGGGATATAATTGGAGCTGCAGGGTTTGTAGACGTGCTGGGCTGAACAGACTTGTTAGATCTAAGAGAAGGCGTAGTACCTCCAAATGGAACTGTACTACCTTTCTTTTGGGTCGGAGTCTGATTCAATTTTCGAGTCTCACCGTTCTGACGCCAAGCCACAGGTGACTTAGCTGTAGACCTTACAGCACCCAGTTGGACAATAGAAGTTATCGGTCTAGCTGATGTAGACGGATTTTCATGTGTCTCAGCAGGACTATCCGGAGGATACGAAACGACAAATGGGGCTGCTGCTGCTGCAGCTAGTTTAGGGGCAGGCAAATGCGTCAAGTGGCTTAACTGAGATGGAGATGTAGGAGAAAGATGAAGGAGGGGGTCAGATGCCGCAGGAGTAGGACAAGCTGAATCCTTACGGCCACTTGTATTATGACCGATTTGGGGAGCATTAGACTGAGAAGCAGTGGGTTAACGTGAGAATAGAGACCCGATTCTACGCTCCATAGGAGTAAGATCATGACAAAGGAAAAATTTTGCCTTCTCTGGGTACGCAGTGACGCGCTCTCGATGTTTAAAGATTATGTCAACGTCGATTGATGAAAATAATTTGACTAAGATAGGTGGATTTTTGCTACGGGAGGACAAGCGTTTGGTATCGGCTATTTTGTAGTTGAAACCACATGAATACAGGAAATTGGTCGCAACATCAATTTGCCGAGCAGATCGAAAAACATTTTTTAGCAGGAAGTTGTAAAAGCGCTTCTGTCTATCACTAGATTCACTGGCGATCAGGTGAACAAGTGGTCGAGACGCCTACATTCTTCAGAGGGAATATCGGAGATGTTCCCGTCGAATAAATTTCCAAGAATTGTCAGCAAAGTGCCGAACTTTAGCATAAAGTCATTGCAGTGGTCAAGTGCAGACAGATCAAGCTGCCGACCAATTACAACGGGTGACGACTGACTAGTAATATCATCTAACTTAGATTTAGGTAAAGCTCCTGACTTACGTTTATTTAGGCCATGCTTACTTACAGAAGCCGAGAGCTTACGTCGACCAGTGACTTTTGGTCTCATCTTGTCTCGAGGCAATTAGTGATTAAGAAAACTTCTGGCAGACAAGTTGACTGAATTTCAGCTAGGGGCTAACGATGTAAAAATAAATTACAACAGTTAGAGAGAAATCGGATGCACAAAATGAGAATTGCAAGGGGCGATTAGTGAACAACGGGCATAGACTAGCAGAACTCAAAAGGAGATGGCAGCAGGCAGTTCTGAGAGAAGAGGCCTGTATTTAAGGAAATTCAACCAAAAAACAGGTACTAAAATCGTTAGGTCTCACAGAAAAACCACTTAAAATAATATCCTCCACTTATCTTCAAATTTAAAACCAGCGACTTGACCTTGACCTGATGGTGCTTTGTGGCTAACAAGGCCCATGCAGTGAGTGAGCTTACGTTGACAGCGCGGGCAGTTGAGGCGAGTGCGGAGGGTTTATGTCGCAACTCTGGCGGTGTACCGACCGCAGTGCGGTGAATTTGCACGGCCAGCCCAACCTGACTCCCACTCCATCTAGCCCCCGAGTGTCCTGTCGCTTTGTTAAATAAAGTAACGGGAAACGTCTCTAACGGTCTAGCCGATCGAACTATTCGCCGGGAAGGAACGTTGTTTAATTCCCTTTGCCACAGTAGTTTGTGACAAAGGTTATTACTTTTTACAGGAACTCTGTGTACAGGAAACTGCTCGTAGACTTCCATATCTATACTTGAAATTCAAACGTGTGCGGACTTTTTTGAGATGAAAAGGACAAGGATTGCAACTCCATCCAGGTAGGTCAGCCTTTGCTTACAACACTGAATGACATTTCCATCCGCAAATGCAAATTTATTTCTTATCGTGAACAGCTTACAATTAGTAAAGCACTCATGCAGGTTAACTAAAGCACTGTTATGGTCAAACAAGCAATGCTAGTCACTTCCTCGATATTTAACGGACGACTGGACAAAGGCTGGCGATTAAAATCGGTGAGGTGGAGCAATGGTTTCTTTGGTTTAACAAAGACACGACAGTTCGGCCGTCGTCCTGGACTACATCCACAATGTCGCCAAGAAGATGGTCGCGCGATCAATGGGACAGTATATGTATCAGCCTGAGCTTGCGGTTGCGTACAGGAGGCCATCAGCAGAGTCTGTGACAATATAAAAGCGAATGAGCAGTTCTTCTAGACAATCAAAGAGGAAGGGAGAGTGGGTAAGGACAGAGAAGGAGGGGGTTGTGTTCGCGATAAGGTTGGGTCCACGCCGTATCACGGCGCCGTGATGGCGTGCATCCTTGGCAGGAAATTGGGTCGCGCCTAATGGCCGCGTGAATGAAGTGCGTGTTAGCAGGGGGGTATATCAACGTGCCTGTTGATGGAATTGGTGTCAGACGACCAGGCCTCCAGCAGTTCCAGTCACGTCTTATTGCCGGCTCGCGCCACTATCCTCGGGCTCGCGAAGTTGAGTTCGTGGCTTTCCTCCAGGGTGTGAGCAGCGACCTGAGGTAATGGGTCGCCTCTCCGAATTGCCCGTTTATGCTCCATTATTTGCGGGCTAAGTCGCCGTCCGGTCTGGCCTATATAATGGCACGGACAGCCACAGCATGGAATGCGATAAATTACGCCATATGCCCACAGCGGGGTGGACGCTGAGGCTGTAACTTCCTCTGCAAATACCGCGTTCTCCTCACTCTACTGGACCCAATAGTGGGACAGAGTCAAGAAGACCGAAAGCGAAATCCGGCGCAGGTGCTTAGCTCGGCGCAAGCACGCGCATACGCGTGCGACTACACCTCCATGGATGGAATTTGTTACGGGCACGCAGAATAGTAACACGTCCCGTACCCTGACCTGAACTGACGCGCAACTCCCGTGTGGCTCTTTGTAAGGGGGTTTACTAAAGACTGGCCGAATGACCAGCAATCTGTCTTCTTGTATTACGCAATTGGCAGAACTCTATTCTGGGTAGATCTACAAATGTGCTGAAGATAGGGCTAACTTGACGGAATGGGAATAGTTGAGGGACTAGCGGAATACAGATAGGCACACGCAAGACCCCTCATCTGGCTTAGCCTACCGGTCAAGAACGGTTACCATGGTGTGGCTGCCGCAATGAGAGCGCCTTAATTGGTCCCCGAATAAGATCTGGGCGTTGAGTAAGTAGCGTTCGGTCCTACCACCACTTTCACCATCCCTGGGGTGCGAGCTGTTACTTTTACTCATTGCTTCTCTGGATCAGACGCTCCCTGTCGTAATGCTCTCAGTGGTTCTCATGCGACGGTAATTATGGACAGACAGGCCGAAAGTTGCCTATCAACAGTTCACCAAAACGAGGGTATATAGGCAGGCATTTAATTTCGCCAGTTTTTGCTGCGCTGATCAAGCATTTACATGCACTTCAGTGGCCTTTTCAACGACCCAAATGACGTCATAAACAATAATTATTCTCTGACAGTGGGGACTACAATCTCACGACAAGATATGATGTTCAGAACACATGCTCTACCACCCTCACATGTTTTTTTGATTATTCGTTTTGCGTTCTGTTAATTGATTTCCGTTGCAGACATCTAACAGTGGATGACAGAGGTAGTTTGTTCACAGAAACGAATCATAAGTATATGTGGTTGTTCCAATAGGCAAGGTTCATTCAGTCCGGAGTAGCCTGTTTACTTCATTTTGACAAAGCAAACCAATATGGAATTGCCAGAACATTAGAAAGTCATCTACCCTCTTTTGTGAACCCATAGCCACTGGGCACTAAGAACTAATTCGAACTTTTGCTGCACACGTGTAGATTCAAACGTACATAACCACCGGACAAAATTGAGCGAAAGTCAACAGGAACCATACACTAACATGTTTTATCCTTAACATGTATTTCAAGGTCGCACTCGCTTACTGGAAAATTAGAGAGCCTAATGTTTAATCGATTTTACATGCGAAAACAATCCGCTTCCGGGACAATCTTGCCGTCAAGTCAGAAGAAGAAACCTTTTTGCATCATCTTCGTGCACACAAGTTTAAGATTCATTGCACTCAAACCCTACAGACTCTTCATTTATTACCTGGATAAAAACTTCTTATGCTAAATGTAAAAGTATTGGAGAAAACATTAAGCGTTTTAGCGACATTACTGTACTCCTTATCATAATTTTTCACAAAAGCATGTAGATACTGGTTACAGTGACGGCACAAAGAGGACGTTCACTTTATGCCATAAGTATCAAGTTTGGAAAATTTAAGAGACTGGTCTGGTAGTTTTAAGTCCGACTTGATAAAAAATGGAGTCCTCTGCCTTAGACGCATTGCAGGCACATACGAGGAAGACAACAGTCATAAACACACACAGCTTCGGATACAGCAAGTTTCAGGCCGTCGAAAGAGTGCAAACAGGTCGGAAACAGAATGAGATAAAAAGGAAGAGAAGAAAAAGGAGAAAAGGATGAAGAAGGAAAAGCATAAGTGACGACTTTGCATCTGTTGACACCAATGAGGTATTCAATCATCCGGACATATGAGTAAGCTAACAATTTGTCGGTGTGCCACAAGAAGTGCCCTGCAAAGTTTAGGCCAAAAAGACAGACGTGGAAATATTTCTCAAACAGGAATACCGCTTAGTACACTAGAGACGCTTTCTTTTAATCAGGAGGAGTTAGACAACTGCGGTACGAAGCTTCGACATTGAGTCGGCGGTAGTTTTATGATCCTCCTGTAGGTGTGCGGATCAAAGCGTCAGTCCCTGACGTGAGCAGACGCAAGTATTGGAGTTGGGGTTCGGAGTCGACAAAAACCGATAAAGCGGACTGAAGAACCACAAGACGTTGGAAATTAGACGGCGGTGGGAGTTGAAATTTTAACTATGCTCTGGACTTCTG